CTCTAATATACGTTTCGGACGACCAGATTGTTGTTCAGGTTCACCTTTTTAACGGCCGTCTAACTGTACTGAACAGTTGCATTTGCCTTTAGTGGATGCACAAACGTATTGTTGTAAGACTGTATTTTGAGTGCCTGGAGACGACTTTTGTCCATTAAACCAGCAGTAAAACTATCCTGTAGATAAAATTCTCAGCTAAAATCAAAGCATTAAAATTATAATGGTCATGGTTCTAACTGGCATGGGAAAATCGACTATCATGCCTATAAAAACAATGAAAACGTACAAAAATGGTTACATTTTCTCATCGTATCTCCCTAAGAAAGTAGTGTGCCACTAATGTATTTCTTCCTCCATTTTGTGTGAAGTATGTAGCTGCCGCCGTTAGCAGGTGTATATCGGAGGGACATAACTTGCACTAGCTTTGAAAGCATTCCTAGGGACAGACTTTCATAAAATTTCGCCTACGATCATGCTTTCAATACTACGGCCATTTAAACTACTCTTTGGTCCTACATCTCAACCTTCTGTGAGAATCGGCATAGGTAGAGTGCTCAAAATCTGCTATTTGTTTAGTGCTATTTTAGTTACCTATTCCTCTGTCAAAATGAATACCCAGATTACCTGCCGATAACGAGCATTAGACACCTGTGTATTGTAAACATCCACTTCGAAAACACACCAGTGAGCAAGTGGAGCGGGTAGATCAAGTCAGAAAGACGGAAGGGTATTCATCATTAAATATCTGTCGATAGATAAAGAGAGTATTTTGAATCATAAAGAAGGTATAGTTCATAATTGGTCGTTTGTCTGATCTTTCTGGATTCCTTCATCACTAATTACATCTTACTGATCATAGCATTCTGTAATGAATGGAGCCTACACTGAAGACACTAGGAAGGATCAGAGGCCTTGATGAAAGATGCTTACAGTAGGGCTTACGAGGGAAGTTACAGAACAAAAATTCTGTCGACAACCTTTGATATACAGAAAACTACAGACATTTTCTGCGCCTAATCATATTCCCTCATGAGGCTAATTGTAGCCCATATGCAGTTAGCTTCCGGAGGGTATCGATAATTATAGGACCTATGAATAGATCTCCCTGGCCATTAATTTCGACCGGATGTGACCAGTTCAAACTCCACCACAAAGAAGTCCTTTAGGTCCATGATCATATTAAATACTTCACAGACTGCATTCACTCAACATCAAGGGAAAGAGAATGTAGTCAGTTTATGTGCGAAAAATATAAGACTGGTCATCACAAAGTGAAGGGGACGTTTGATGCGGTGGTAGTTGTAGACATTTTGAACCAAAAGTAGCATTATAGTTGTTAGCTTGCTACTGCTCGTTGATTGTCGAGGAACGCACAAGCTTTCGTGGCCACAAACTAGATGCATGAACATCTACTTTCCGCAAAACAAACTCCACAAATTCGTAGTCCTTTCCGAGATTGCTTATTTAACAGGGAAAATGTATTCGGACAAATGTGTGCAGATATAGACATATCCAGTGAGAACTGAGCACAGAAGATGTATTACCTTATACTGACGTTTGAAAAATGAAATACTGATTGTTTGTCAGTCACGCTAAATGTTAGTCATGGTGAGCAGAAAGTGAAATTCGACTAGCTCATATCCATAGTGACTGTTTGGTCCACTTTTCCCCCAGAAAACGGTAAAATGATTTCAACCTGAAGCACGGTCTTTTTCTTGTGATCATCTGACCGACTTAGTAGTAAGGGGTCTAGTGCATACTTCTATCTGGTTGCTTAGAAAGACAACGAAAGCTCCGCAACTAAACTATCCAGCTCGGGGAATACAGCTACACCAAAATCACTCACCTGAGTTACAGATCTCCTCCCCCATTGGAAGACAGTTACGGGCAGTATGCTGTAGGACTGCGACAAGCACAAAGTGACTCAGTGCCACTGCTACAGTTATTGCAGTAAGAATCCAGCCTTAAATGACAAGCTGAGGGAAGGTGATATATACTAATCAGCAGATACGGCAGTGTTCACAAATGCCAATCGCTCCAATCTGTAGGACGGCAATGTGCATTTAGGCGGCCGAAGGCTTAATCATCACCGTTTCCTTAAGAAACAAAAGTGATTGGCGACTCAAAATACCCAGCATGTTGGAGGTTACATACTAGAGGACGCATTTCAGTGTCATTATCCGGATCTAGGAAGTAGATAATTCCTCAGTCCTAACATCTACTACTTTGTCCAGCTTCTTGTCAAGAAGCAATCCCGTGAATCCTACACAGATTCGTTAGATATATTTCAGTCCCACTTCCAACTGAACTATCATGTATTTCTTTCATAATGAGGATTAGTATATTATGATATGTCTTGTATTTCTAAGATCTTTATGAGTTAGCAGTCACTCTTTTAGTTAGTACTTCTTGTCCCCTTAATGTCTGGTTGATCAGGAACGAGTTTAGGCATAATAAATGAGCTCTCTGTACTCGTCCAGACGCTTTCCCAGTTAACAATTGTTTTTGTACAGCTAGCTGATACGGACGAATTGTACACCGCAATATAGAGGAGAGAGATGGAAAAAGTGCACTGCAGTCTAGCCTCGTTTAACACGGAAATCAAACTTAGAACTAGGTAGGAGAGGTGCAATTTACCTGACTTTATACCGATATAAACGGGTGAAAAATCTATAAAGTTTTACTATCGGTATTGAATGCTGTTCTGTTGACTTTGTGTCGAAATATCAAACCTTGAGAAGCGTATTAATAGTTCTAAACGTTGTGCCAAAATGAATTATTGCTGCCAAATATTTCAAGAAGAAGACTTCAAGAATACTTACATGGTATATTTAGCAAATACTGATGAATGACATGAGATTAAGGGCTCAAAAAACTATATTTTCACTGTCTGTGATATATCATCTCAGTTAATATAAAAGTACGGCTACCGTGAAGTTTGTTTAATCTTACCAATTAACACTTAAATGAGCGGGATTTCCTTCTGCTGTATCTGTTTCAAATCGAAAGGCTTGGCTATGGTATTTATGCTAGTTAGACACCAACAGATGGAGAGCTGTTCTATCTATAATATTTAAAAATAGTAATAGTACATGATTCTCACCAGTGCAACTCGTACCCCATGTGAATTTACAGCTGCAGAGACGCATTCTGAGGAACTATGAGATGAAATTGGATTTAATTTAATAAAACAGGACATATTTTCATTATGTCGATTTTGCTGTTTCTACTTCTGACTTACATTCTTCTGAAGCATTCACTTGGAGATTCGCCTAAGGGATCGACGTCAGGTTAGTGGTTTTTATTTATAAGTCGGGAGAGTATACACAATGGAATAGCGAGTAATTCTTTTATTAAGGTTGATGGCGAAATTGTATTATGATTTCGCTCACGCAGATCTTCTAGCAATTTGTATGTGTATAAGAGCGTTTCATTCCACTTGGAACTAGACTCTGACATGTCTTTACAATACCGAATTAGGAATCTAAGTAACCGGTGATATTAAGAATTACTACTCTTGCGTGCGTTTACGACTTAACGGTTGGTTTTTGTATTACTCGCTAGTTTGCAACAAATGTAACAAAGAAGTATTTTACGTTTCTAAATTGTTACTCTGTGTAAAGCCATTCTCTGGGTTACGAAAGTACTCTTTTACTTGCTTCGACCAACTTGATACCGAGATAGGTTTCCTTGACTTATTTAAAAAAGATTTTCATATATTCTGTTTGTTTGTGACGAGTGTTATTGAGGTCCCATAATATAATTATATATATGTTAAGGAGTAGGATTAAGCTCGTTTTGACATATTTGATAGTTTCATTGTGGTCAGATTGTATTTTACCATTATTTGTAAACGTGTTCACTCCTCATAGTTTGCCGGGTGGCGGAAGCCATTCTAGTGATTCTCTTTTCCATACATTTGTGTTTGTTTATCTGCATGCAGCGATTTCACTGTGAAAGACATTTCTAAGGTTTGGATATGTCGTACGACTGTCATTTCAGAATTAAGGTTTCTTCATAAGATGGCTCTGTGATGTGAAATATCCAGTGGCGTAACTTCAAAGGTACTCAAGAATAACACTGGTAAATTACTAACTGGGTTAACTGCGTTAGACGTTATATAGGGGTCCGAAATTGTTTCATGTAACTCGTGCAGCTCATCTCAGTTTACAAGAAAGGGGGCAGGTTTATTCATGACAGTTGCAAGAGGATCAGTCACAAAGTCCTACGGTCTGTGGTCATATGAATTGTGACATGGCACAACATGATTCACAAGGCTGCTGATGTGCTCATCCCTTGACGCTATTCATATTGTGCAAATTATTCTCTCTGTCGTATATCTCCATCTATTGTAGTTTCATCAAGTTTTTTGTACGGTTATGTGTGCTTTTCCGAAGTTTGACAACTTGAAATGATGTACTTGTATTTAATGTCCCGCGTTATGTGAGTCATTCGTCTCTAGATGTGCCTGATGTGGCTCACTGCTATCGTCTCACTGCAGCTCTGGGTGATATGGTTTCCAACTCAGAGGGAACACCAGTCCCTTCGAGTTTGCAGATACGCTTCGCTGGTGAGTGCCTAAAAGTACGAAACCTAAGACCAGGGCTTCTTTCTAATTGCCTTCAACCATCTTACTTATCAGTGTAAACCTGTACAAAAGTGCATCACTCGCCACATTTCGGAGCACACATAAACTAAAGTAAAGGAATAGACGAAGACAGACAAAGAATAATTAAATGAAGAATAATGAAAACTTTTGGAATCCGTATTATAATATGGAGTGAATACGGGCCTACGATAGTATTCTAGTCATGACATTGTCAACTGGTTTAGTATAGTTGAATGATATCAACTTGGTAAGTGTTAATGAACCAAATGAGTGCAATTTTTTGGCTCGATATTCATGTAACATATCAGCTAAAACAAAGTGAATAGATTTCTATATTGTGTTTACTGTATGCACTTCTCTTGTTTTCCTCTTTTTGAATATACAGTTGTGTTGACAGATGTGTGTCCTTCAATAGCCAAAAAACATTTAGCGTTAAATATGTCTGTTTCTCCTGTGGTACCACATGTAACATGTGTGTACAATTTCAAGACATACATGCATGGGATTACAGAAATCACTAGTAATAATTTCAGTGTGACTTCATTAAATGGTGAGAAATATAAGTACGAGCAAGTTTCGTATGGAAATTATTCTACAAATACTTCAGTAATAAATTTGAAGGGTGTACCTGATTTATCTATTTGGGACGATAGATCTGTACTTATTTTGGCTGTACATCGTCTAAACTTCTCTACAGAACCTACTTGCCCTGAAGTCTATCTGTGTGCTATTCCCAATGTTAGACACAAAAGGACTTCAGAATGTGAAACTAGTTTAGGTGAAGTAAGTCCATTAAAATTCACTTATTATGCATTTATTTGTGAATTGTGTTGATTATTTGATGTTTTGGTTCACTATCTAAAGCCTTCATTAAAGGATGCAACGTTCACCTCTGGCTATACACAACATTATAAAAAGCTAGGTTCACTTCAGTTAAGCGTACTTTCGTAGAGAGGCGGTAGTTAGGTGTGATATGTTATAGGTACAAGCGTATGGCATTCATAGCCTCATTGGTCCATTTGCTTTCCTTACCTAGTAATGTACGTTTAACCTCAGTATTTCTGCTTCATGGTCCCACTCGACAAGATCAAATCTTTTGATTGCTTCTACTTTTAGTGACCTTATCTCAGCTGTAAAGTAGGAAGAAACAAACGGTTGCTCAGTATATTTATCCTTTGTTAGCTAATGGGAAGCTGGCCTTTGCCAGTGGTGATGCAAGGTAGTAAACATCAAACAGACGTTCTTATATCCACAGTGAAATTCCGTCAGGTAGTATGAAGTGGTATGTGGAACATTCGTACATAGACTGCGTATAGTGATTTGATTTAATCCCATATATCACGATTACAAACCTGTTAGTGAGTCTTGCCGCTTAAATTGAACGTGGTCATTGTGACATTGCAGACCAGCGGTTTATTTTCTTGTAAGAAAATTAGTTCAAACCGCAAACATCACTGGGAGGCGGGGATATCTAACTCACCATTTCTAACTTAAAATAAACGCGTGTCTTCAAATCGTCCACTTTCCAATACGAAAGATTTCACTAAAGGCTGTATCGAAGCTTCCATACACAGCTCATATGCTAGCAGAAACTTATTAGTTCATTCCTGTACACCGCTAACAGGAATGATGAAATGTTATAGTATTCTTAATTTTTGTTTTTAACACAATCATCATCATGATGTGAAATGTGTTGTTAGAAGATAAATACTGAGTAACCTTTCGGAAATACTTGGTATTTTCATCATTGTGGACCTAGGAAAGTTGTGCAATAGCTGTTTTTCAGATCCATTTAGTTTGATTTCATAGCTGACCCTCTATCTCCCTACTGATTTTAATGATCGAAAAATTTAACTAAGTTTATTTGTATTCAGCTTCATTGTTGTGTTTCAGTGACTACCTCAAAACAGTGACCACTTGAAAAATAAGAACTTATTGAAATGATTCAGGCTATTCTTAGCTCAGGTGGATGGGCTTGGCATTATTGTATTCTCTGGGTTGGATGGTCGAATTAAGAATTGATTTTCTTTCCTAATCAATGCTTTTGAACCTGGTTTTACGACTAATAAGAATTTAAGTATAACTGATTCGTTTTTATTTGATTTGTTTCAGGTTAGTGGAAGTTGCCAAGATGAAATCGACGAAACTCATTTTTTCTTGTTTCCACTTGCAAGCTCTTTAAAGATTTCAGTTGGCAATGTTGGTCATAACGCAGACTCATTGAGCAGTAGCATGCATATCGTTGTCACTGCTGGGTGTAAGTTTTAGAATGTCTGGTAATAACAGTGTGCATTTTGATGAATTTCTTACAAATATTTTTCGTCTGTACCCAAATGGCTTTAATGTTAGAATTTTTTTTCACATTCATCCACCAAGATGCCAATCCGATGTCAGTTGAAACCAACGTGTTTTAAGAAACACCTAATTTTGGGTTCCTTCATAAATGCCTTATTCTTATCTTTTGTTAAATGGCCCGGCCAAAGTTTGTAAAATAGCTTAGTATATTACATATTTGTACTCCTCTACATACACCAACCTCATTGTGGTATGCTCGTGCGTTAGTAGCGTTAATCTGATTTTAAGAAATTTGAACGCAGAAGGTTTCGACATAAGCACTTTTTCTGTATACTTGTAAGGTATTTCCCATTCCAGCTAAGTATTTCTTGCGTACTGGGTGCTAGATCATCGTTGTCTGTATAATGTTGCCAACATGTTAGACGTTCTTTGGTTCGATGGTGTTTTCTGTCCTGCTGAAGATCGTCATTTCATAAATTGTCAATTAGAACGCCATCTACTGTTGTTTAAATGCGTGTTACACTTGTTATCTCAGTTGGCTTTAAACTGTTCATTGTTCGGTAATCTGAAGACTGGTTGGAAGAAGTACAAATATTCTTTTGTTTTGTGATATCGTAAAATAGATAGTGTTTCTACTACATTCTGTTTACTTAAAAATGAATAAAAAAAACTCAACACCTATTATATCTTAACGTGTCATGTTTTGATCTGAACTAAGGTGTTCAACGGGTGTGTTCTATGCAATAAAATCAACCATTTTTGTACACTATTTTTAAAAGTAGAGTAGGTTTTGTACTTATTAGGACGAATTCTTTAATGCTACTTTTAGTGGTATTTGATTATTTATGTTATAGTTGCACGTGAACATGTAATCCAGATCAACTCTTTCCGAAGCTAATCTTGTTGGTTGAGGAAGGCGGTCTTCCAGCATGTGTAGCACGTGTCCTAGCCAACTCAATCGATAAGGCTTCATGACTTCATCGTCTGACACTTACTCTTTTTACTTTTAACAGTTTTCACCTAATCGCATTTTCACTTACCATGGGTGTCTGTAATCGAAATTTCTCGATATTTTTCACATACTCGACTTTATCTGGTCATGTACCACAGCTATAAAACAGGATTGAGTCAACTGCTGCTTATTGTGGATGCCCTTTGAACAGTAGGAGGATCATGACACGGGCGCCAATGATGACACCATTTGGAAAATGCCAAATGAACCCTATGTAACCGTGTTGAATTTTCTGCAGCAATCTGTGCATTAGGGTCGGTATAACTCCCTCAATAAGTTGGTCAACACATTCAACCATTTTTATTTCCCTCCATAAACTGGCAGTCGGTGCAGAGCATTCCGGAAGCATCATCTTGCAATTGGCTGGAGTGAATCGCATGCTAAACACGCTTAGATTTTTGCGCAGGGTGTTTAGAGGACTCTGGAATTTGTTAACGTTCTCACCATGAAAGATGCAGATATGTGTACTCTAAATCAGGACTTTTTCTTAATAATGGGTCAATTCCAGATACATCAGAGTCAGTTAAAGTCACATGCATCATAACGTCTGTAGTCAAATTAAATAAGAATGGTGACACTGGATATCCTTGGTGGACACCACTGGCTGTCGTCACTGCAGACAGCAGGTCTTCTTGGGCCCTTGTACAGCTGGATAAATTCGGACAGAGAAGTAGTAGTTTGAAATTTTTCAGCACTCCCATCACAACCAAACATTGACACAGCGCCTCTTGGTTGGTGAACTCAAATGCTGCTCTTAGGTCGGCAGATGTTACCTACCCGTAAAAATTCCTTAGTCCTAGAATCCTATGGAATTGGAATATTTGACCACTGCATCAGCGTCCTCGTCTTCCTGGCTTTGTTGAGATGGTTTTTTACTGGTCTGTAAAATGTTACACATGTCAGTCGAATTGTTTCTCTTGCTATTATCACAAATGGATCTACTCCCTTTCTTGTAAACTGGGATGATCAGCGACCTCCATGAGTCTGGTGGAAATATATGGTATCCTCATGTAATAGCTATCATCTCAGTAAATCCAGCTAATGATTCACCACCGTAACACAGCATCAAGACCTGTTGCTTTGTGTCGTCTTAGATTAGGTGCACTCTTTACACCCTTGCCTCTAGATAGATAACAGATGTCTACATTCCACTTAGACTGGGATTAGATAGTGGACAACTGTAGTGCAGCTGTAGCCGTAAGCTGGTGTTCTGTTCAGTGTTCCAGCCATCTTTTTTAAAGAAGCTGTTAAATTGGTATCTTGTAGATGATGCATAATTCAATTCTGGTGGTGCTAATATAAAAGAGTTACTTACTTTACTTTACTTCGGCTATCTCCTACGGGAGGATGAGCCGGCTTCATGAACATCTCGAATCATCGCTGCCCAGGCGCGGCGATCTGATGCAAGGTTTTGCGACAGGGTTATCCAATTCTTGTTCCACAGACGGAGTCCGTAGACGGTTTGTAGCCCCAGGCACTCCATATCAGCCTTGACTGTACCAAGCCATGTTTTCAGCTGTCCACCCCTAGGACATCGCCAAGATGGCAATGGCGAGGGATTTAGAACTGATTTGACCAGATCGTCATCTGGTCGGCGCAGAACATGGCCAAACCACCGAAGGCGACGTTGTTGGACCAGTCCTGGAATTTTGTTGATGTTGCGTCGCTTACCGGGAACGCCGTAGCATGGAGAGAGTCGTTTGTAAGAGAGTTCATGAAGTTTCATGGGAATTTGGTACGAGTGATGTCCCCAGAATCGCTCGGCCTTTTGTTTGAGAGTGCAGCTCTAGCCTTTACACAACCAAGTGTGACCTACAAGGCAGTAGGAGTGGAGTAGGGAGTCCACTATCCATTGGCAGCCGGTGACCGGAGTTCGGTTCATACGCCTTTTTGAATGGGGCCAGACATCCAACAATCCCTTTGTCCATACGTCTGCCGGTGAGCTCCAGTGAGCTTCATACGCCAGTCGTTGGAGGTTTGGAATCAGGGATTAGCCATCTCCCCTAGACTGTCATCCCGTGGACAGTCAACCCGGTGAAGAGCGCCGGGCATCCGCTTTCGCCCTCTCACTTTGGTGAAAAATACCTCCGCCGCGTGAAGGCAGTGAGTAGGACTTCCTCAGGAGAGGCTATGTAAGACGCCCGGTCATATGGGAGCATTTCAAGAGGTGTGTGGAGGGGTGGCCAACCGGCAGCGCAAGGCACCCACCCCCGACCATCCTGAGGCTTTGGAGGCATATATATATATAAAAGAGTTCGCAGACGGTTGCGAAGTTTCTAGCAGTCGTAAGTGACTTTTTCTGCTCCTTAATTCTGTAGATCACATGTCTGGATTACTAATTCATACATGGGGAGCACGAATCACATTAGTACTGCGATTGTCCGTCTAGTAGGCTGTAATTTAAGATTACAAACACTACATTTGATGTTAGATTTTTAGACACTTGAAATATTAATGATCTTAATATCACATTACATAACTGTGTATTTTCACATTTCTAGATCGTTTACCTCCTACTGCATTTACTTGTCCATCTGGCTATTTCGCTTGCCAGTTATTCAATAGACTTATCGAACCTCGGTATTCCCCACTAAACTGGACATACCGTATATGTTTGCCCTTGGATTTGTGGTGTGATGGAGTACCTAACTGTCCAGTTACTGGTTCAGATGAAGAGAACTGCTCCGCTGTACCGCCTAACAGTTACGTGTACTTGGATTCACAGTTTCAAAGTGAATATCAAATGCTTAGCAGTGTTTTAGATCGATATGCTGAGAATACAAGTCTATTACGTTTAACTGGATTTCATAAAATTTCTGACAAACCAAGTATATTTTTTGCATCACTGAACACAGTCTGGTATTCATTGGGATTGCTTTCATTTATTTCAGTGATAGCTGTATTGACTATTGCATTTAAACTGTCGAAAAAGAAGAGAGGTGGGAATACTGTTCAAGTCGTTGAAGAAAAAAGTTATGCTGAAATTTCACACAGTAGCAGTAATGCTTTGAAAAATAATATTGATAATAGTTTTTCAGACATTGATTGTTATGAAGAGAAATTATCAAGTAGTAATAATGATAATAACAATAATATTTGTGGGGCAAATCACAAACTCGATGGTTCTAACAATGTTTATCATCATTTTCCTTCAAATGGTACACATCACAAGAATTTTTATGGAGATTCAGTTGGTTGTAACCGAGAAAGTGTTCCACTTATTCATGGACAGCGTCCAGAACACAAACCATCATCATCGCCATCATATTGTGTGTTAGATGAAGAGTAAGATTAGAATTCAAAAATGTGTGTATGTTGTCGACTTTTAGTGTGTTGTTGTTTTAATTAATAACACTTTAAATGGCAGATTTTTATTTACGATGAATTTATCTTTGTGTTTGTGATTGATCTTTGAGATTTTGCATGCCTATTTCTTTCTCATATATGCATGTTTGCAGATTATAGTCCCGTGTAAAGTATTTATTTACCTACTTTCATCTCATTGAAGCTTTGTTCCGGTGATTAGTTGGTAGTTTTGTCTTTTTTTAACTGTCTTCTTCAGCTGTCACGCATTCATCCTTCTTTTTTCCTCTCTCTCTCTCTTTCGCTTCCTTCCACTCATACCCTGAGTTTTTACATGGACACATTTTGTTATGTATTGACTTGAAGTTGATGTCACTATCTATTCATGGAGAATGATGAAATGTCTATTTTGAATTGCATCTCCTTTTCTTTATGTGCACTATGATTAGCTTATCTTGTTAATCTTGACTTGATTTTATGAGAATAAAAGTGGAATTAAAATCTCTTCACATATTTGTTCAATTTTGCATCATCACCCATATTATATCATCATCATCATTTGTTTTGTATCTTTTTCTTTCCTAACCCATTAATTATGTCGTATGTTTTATTCCTTCCGTGTGTGTATGTGTGCGAATGTGTAATCCACATATTACAGAGATAAATCTCCTCCTATATTTCCACTGTTTTTGTTATTACCATCAGATGATGAAAGAAGTAGTCAGTTTCCATTTATCAGCTTGACTGTCTATTTCACCTCTTTTGCCGAAATTTTATTATTTATTTTTTCACATTGGTGTATTATTAAGAGAAAAAAAATGTATTCCGATTGCTAAAACAACTACAAGTAGGTGGTATTTAGTCGGGAAGCTTGATCCGATTTATTGACTTTCTTGAGATATGGTGTTTGTTACGTACAGTACTGTGCTTGTGGAGCTTTTCACAGTCGTAGTCAAACGGTAAAGTTTATATAATGAAGGCTAGCTTCTTTTTCAATGATTACCTGTTAATCCAACCACTCATGTATGTATTCCATTTTATTTGGGTCATCGAAACCAAGATGTGACTATTGCGGGTAGTCTGTGTGAAACGTCACATTGCTAGAATGTAATAAAATCGTCGAAAGTGCAGCAAATAAGGAAATAGTATCAGATATTGGAGCTTAAAGCTGTTGTAATCAAAACGACAGATGGCTGAACCTAAGGAATTATTATATTTTGCAGTAAAATAAATAAGATTACGCATTCTTCTCTGTCTAAATGTAGTGTTGAAAAGACCCCCTTGGTGATAATTATTATGAATCAAAAGTGCTATTGATTTTAATAACAAGCCGTTCTATAATCGGAACATAACTTGATTGTACTACTAAGAATATTAGTCTCTTTATGCGCTAGATTTTTTGAAACGCCTCTGTTGTTTAACATCTCTTGCGTAATATCATCTTCTCCCTGATTCTTTTGTAATTTTTATGATATTTCATTCAACAAACACTTTGTTGTGTTGTCCAACTCCTTGTAGAAGATTGATTCCTGTTTTTTTAGATCTCTATTATATGTCTATTAATACTGTAATATTGTTTAACTATGGCAGTTCATCTTACTTGTTATTGTATCCTTTTTTTAAAAATGTACTGAACACTTCGACGAAAGAGAACCGTTCATAATCACTCTTGTACAGCTATAATAAATAAAATTAAAAAAGTTTTGCACATCGGTACGACTTCTATATTCTTCTTTGATTTAAGGACAGTAAAGCAATCTCTTTTTATAAGGGTGCTATCAGGGTAAATATAAGCATTGCTATTTTGGGTGTTATTCTTATCACACTACCTCTTAATTAGGCGTCCTTGTGGCATATAATTTTCTGAAGTGAAACTTGCGAATATAGATTCCGATATTGAATTCTCCTGGAAAAGACTGTCGATTTTATAATTTTTGATTTTACCTCATTATTATTGTTTCCTTTAATTCCTAGAGGAACATAGGGCTTCAGCCGTGCGTCTCCATTGCATTCGGTTCTCTGCCAACGTTTTCACCTGACTCCAAGTCTGTCCACACGTTTTCATCTCCTCTTCACATGACCTCCTCCAAGTCACCCTTGCACTGACGACCAACTCGCCACTTCCCTTTCGGGTTCCACTCGAGCAATGGCTTGTCTAGTGATGTCACTTGATGGTTTCCTCAGAGTATGGCCAATCCATCTCCATTTCTTCCTGCCTATTTGTTTCCCGATCGGTTCCTGCTGGGTTGGTTCGCTCATTGCCAGAGATCTCTGTTGTTG